CCTGTTAGAAATATAATCGCTCTATGTTAAAACGCGCAAGCGTACGGGATCATCTTTTCATGAACGCTTTTTAATTTTCCGAGATTGGCACCACTGCTATAGTTTTACGAACGCGACACGTTAGATCTCCTTTGTTCGTCGCACTCTCTCTGTAACCGCCAAATAAAGAGTCGTCGTTACACAGTTTTCCTGATAAAAGACGAGTTTTTCTGTATCACCTGCTATTAGCTACGTTACATTTTGGCGACCGTGTGACAGGATTAAGTATTACCCGTAACGTACACGTGAAAAGATAGCTGGTGTTACGCATTACAATGGAAAAGCTGAAGAAGTCACGTACCGTTGTACGAACGGCGTTTACTCGCAATCTGGGAGTGCTTAATACCGAACTGGAGAAAGAAAACCCGGACGAGAAAGAATTACAAGCGCGCTTTGCGATAGTCCGAGAGAAGGCGAGTGAACTGGAGGACCTAAATAGGAAGATCTTCGAGGTTATGGTCGACGAGGGCACGGACGAACATCAGCTCCTGCAAGAAACCGAAGGTTCTGACGAATATAGAGTTAAGTATCAACAAGCCAAAATAGGCGTAAATAGCATTATCGTTCGTGCTGAATCCGCTTTGACTGCACAAGATGTCGGACAAGCAGTGCACGTCAATGCGGATTTGCCTATGCGTACCTTTAAGTTGCCGAAGATACAATTGCCAAGATTTTCTGGAGAACTCAAAGACTGGCTGCAATTCTGGAGTTTGTTTAAGAATATTCATTTGGATGCGACCATCACCAAGGAAGACAAATTTCAGTACCTGATCCAAGCGATGGTAAAGGATACACGTGCCAGCGAGTTAGTTAATAGCTACCCACCGACGGCCGCTAATTATGATAAAGTAATTGCAAGCTTGAAGAACCGATTCGGCAGGAATGATTTGCTTGTTGAAGTATACGTGCGAGAGATGTTAAAGCTCGTGTTAAATAAAACAAAGGCAAGTAGTCATACTTCCTTATCTAGAATTTATGATCGATTGGAAACTCAAATGCGCGCACTTGAGTCTTTAGGAGTCACGACGGATATGTGCGCAGCGATGCTCTACCCGTTAGTTGAGTCATCGCTCCCTGAGGATCTTCTACGCGTGTGGTAGAGAAATCCTAAAGCAGTTGCCTCTGCTACCTCAAAACAGCGTCTGGATGAGTTAATGACTTTCCTTCAAACTGAGGTACTAAGCGAAGAGAGAATTGCCATGGCGATGAGCGGTTTCGATTTGAGCGACGTACAAGCTACAGTTCAAGATAAAACGAAGAAGAAGGGTAGACCTGAAGCTAAGGAAGTTGCTACTGCTGCTGGTCTCCTCTCAACTAAGGAAGATAAGTACAAATGCATCTTCTGTGAACAAAATCACGACAGTGCATCGTGCACAAGAGCGAAGAAGATGCCTTACGAGGAGAGACACAAGACTGTCAAGGAGAAAAACGTTTGTTTCCAATGTCTTAAGATAGGACATGGTTTCAAATTCTGTCGTTACAAAGAGAAATGCCCATGGTGTGGCAAGAAACATGTCCTTCTGATGTGTCGTTTATTTGGCGTGACATCAGGTACTTCCACAGAAGACAACAAGATAGAGGAACCTAATAAGACGCAGGCTAGCCTCTCAAGCATTTCGCTCAACTGTGAGGTGTTTTTACAAACTCTCAGAGTGAAATTACACAACCAAGGAAAAGAGAGGATAGTGAGAGCCATTGTCGACACGGGCTCACATAGGTCGTATACTTGAACATCACGCACAAGAACTGAATTTTGAAGTCGTGGGCGAGCAGAAAATCGTTCACATGCTGTTTGGTGGCACGAAGTCGGAACCACAGCTACACAAAGGTCATCGCGTTAACGTAAAGAGCTTGGACGACTCATATGATTGTAATTTTGTGGCTCTGAGTCAGAAGGTCATTTGTCAAAATATTCCTTCGATAAATAAAGGACCGTGGATAAAGGAATTGCAGTCCGAAGGGATACAACTCACCGACGTCGATTCCAGGGACGAACCAGTATCAATTCTGTTAGGGGCAGATATTGCAGGGAAACTGATGACAACTGATCGTAAGGAACTCAAATGCGGAGCCATAGCCTTGAAAACGTTACTCGGTTGGACTCTAATGGGGAAGACAAACGTCCAGTCAAGCCGGAAAAAGGAAGATACAGCTCTTATGATGGTGTCTATGTTTGTTCAGGAAGCCAGTATCACGGATTTATGGAAGTTGGATACATTAGGCATCGAGGATCCTATCATGAAGATTACTGCAGAGGAGCATCAGGCACAAGTGCAGGAAACTTTTCGACAAACAATCAGGATGAACGGCGAAGATCGATATGAAGTACAGCTTCCATGGAAGAAGGATCATCTCCCGTTAACCGACAACAGAGTTACTGCGGAACGTCGACTTGATTCCATCACGAAGAAACTCAAAATGCAGGGATTTTACGAGGCCTATCAGGAGATATTTCGTCAATGGCTAGCTGAAGGGATCATCGAGAAGGTTCCTGTCGAAGAGGAGGAAAAGGAGAGTTATTACTTGCCTCATAGTGTTTGACGCCTCAGCTGTCGATAAAAAGGGGCTGTCCTCAATCACTGCTTGGAGACAGGTCCTAATCTAATGGAACAAATTCCAAATATACTTCTACGTTTTAGGCAACACAAGATTGGAATAGCTTCGGACATACGCAAGGCTTTCCTACAAATAAGCATATCTCCAGAGGACAGAGATGTATTACGTTTTCTTTGGTGGAAGGAAACACTACCCGATCAAATAGAGATATATAGACATAGAAGAGTAGTTTTCGGGGTCACCAGCAGTCCTTTCCTGTTAGGAGGGACTGTCGAATACCATCTTGGAAGAATGCTTCAAGAAGCTGGAGCGGAACAAGATAAGAAGATTATCCAACAACTAATGAAGTCGTTCTACGTCGACAATTGTGTGACCAGCCTTGATTCAGAGATCGAACTATTTCATTTTATCGATGTGGCAAAACATGTGATGGCCAGAGGCAATTTTGACTTACGAGGTTGGGAATACAGCGGACAACAAACGACAGAAACCATGACTTCTGTACTTGGTTTGAGATGGAACAAGGCGGAAGATACGTTAGGATTCACACCATCCTTGCTTAAGCCGAATGCGATGTCGCAAGTCACGAAGAGAGCTATATTGTCTGCAGCCCAGCGAACATTTGATCCTATTGGCGTAGCGTCTCCTGTATTTTTGAAGCCAAAATTATTGTTACAGAAACTCTGGACACTAAAACTTGGTTGGGACGAGACAGTACCAGAAGAAATAAAGGTTGACTTCGATAAGTGGCAACAACATCTGTGGTGGTTGGAAAAAACTGCACATTCCACGGCAAGCTTTTCGTCGAAACAGAGAGACAAATACTATATCCTTTCACGTATTTGTAGATGCTAGCCAGGATGCTTACGCAGCAGTTATCTTTGCACGAACAGAAGAGTGCGAGGGTACTTACGTGCAACTTATTGCGGCCAAGGTTAGAGTGGCGCCAGTAGAACGGCCGACGATCCCTCGTTTGGAGTTACTTGCTGCGACCATTGGAGCACGTCTGTGGCACGCGGTGAAGAGTGCCTTAGATCTCAAGGATGCAGAGACCTTTTTTTGGTCGGATTCCACAACGGTTCTAGCGTGGATTCACCGGGACAAGCCTTGGAACACCTTTGTATATAATCGCGTGAGGGAAATACGTAAGTTTTCAGATTCGGATCGATGGCGTCAAGTACCTGGCACCATGAATCCAGCAGATTTACCGTCACGAGGATGCACAGCCAAACACCTGGTGGAATCGCGATGGTGGGAGGGCCCGGCATGGCTCAAACTGTCAGAGGAACATTGGCCTTCGATCGAATATGTCACCAATGAAGCAGAGATTGACAACGAGATGAAGAAGTCGACGCGTTGCAGCAATAACAGGATTCTTTCAGTCAACATTGCAATAGGCGAGACAAATATGCTTGTCAAGGAACAGGAAACAGGCTGGTATATGAAGAGACAGTCTAGATATCTGAGAATAGTGAGAACTATGGCTTGGATTCTTCGGTTTGCTGAAAATTGCCGAACTTCTCAAGCTACAAGACTATCGAGAGAACTGACGGCTAAGGAATTTGCCACGGCAGAACATATGGTCTTGAAACTAAGCCAGCAGGAGTCCTTCGATGATGTGGATGAACCACGGCTAAATACTCTAGACGTATATAAGGATGACGAGGGATTACTAAGACTAAAATCGCCTATAGTCAATCGTGAGGATGAACATGATTTTCGATATCCCATTGTATTAGATCAGAAACACCCGTTAACTAAGAAGCTGATCGAATACAAACATCAACAGCTCAATCACGCGGGAATCCAGATAGTGATGAGCAATCTGCGAGAGAAGTTCTGGATTCTATCTTGTAGAATGACCGTACGATCTGTCTTAAATCGTTGCTTCGTGTGTAAACGATACAAAATCAAGAAGTTGGATGCTATTTCTGGCAGTCTACCAAGGGAACGTGTGAAGGACGCAGGAGTTTTCCAGATCGTGGGAATCGACTACGTGGGACCTCTATTCTTAAAAGAAGCACAGAAGACTTGGATCTGCTTGTATACTTGTGCTGTCTATAGAGCAATCCATCTGGAACTCACTACTTCACTTTCGACTGAGGCATTTCTGCAAGCTCTGCGTAGATTCATCGCTCGTAGAGGAAGACCTTCAGTCATCTACACGGACAACGGAACCAATTTTGTTGGGGCCCGCAATTTACTACACAGAATTGATTGGGAAAAGGTTCAACGTTACAGCTCGGCCCAACGTATAGAATGGCGCCTCAACCCTCCTACAGCTGCCTGGTGGGGAGGATGGTGGGAGCGTCTAGTGAAAATAGTCAAGGATATACTCAGACGAACCTTGAAGAGAGCCTGCCTGTCGTACGAAGAAATGAGTACGATTCTTTGCGATTGCGAGGCTATCGTCAACTCACGACCATTAACGTATCTCGCGGAGGATCCGACACAGCCAGTGCCTCTAACTCCGATGATGTTCCTACAAGAAGTTACCCAAAATGAAGTACCGGATCTTGACAAACTGGATGTCAATTTGAACAGACGCATGCGATATCGTCAAAGTTTACGACACGAACTAAGAAAACGCTTTCGTTCGGAATACCTAGGACAGCTGTCCCGATTGAAAAACAAAAGTAATTGTACTGCGGTGAAATCGGGAGACATCGTTTTAATCGGTCAAGATAATATGAAACGAATGGATTGGCCATTAGCTCGAGTGATTGAAACATTTCCTGGCAGAGATGGCATTGTACGGGTGGTCAAAGTAAAGACGTCCTCGGGCGAACTCGTGCGACCGATCCAGCGACTGTACCCGCTAGAGGTGTCCTCGACCGTGATGGAAGTGAAGGATGGAAGCAGGGACTCGACCGTGATGGAAATGAAGGATGGAAGCAAGGAGTCGACTACGCCAGATGACGAAATTCGGACCCGATATGGAAGACTTGTGAAAAAACCTGATAGATTCACCGTTTGATTTAGATTTTGTTATGTAGTTTTTTCTTTTCGTTCTTTTATTCGAGTCTTGTCCGAGACATTAAAATTAGATTACGAGTAAGTTTAAGTCCTTAAGTAAGTTTCCTTATTGAGTTGTGTCATATAAGCTTTTCCCAACTCAAGGTGGGAGGATGTTAGAAATATAATCGCTCTATGTTAAAACGCGCAAGCGTACGGGATCATCTTTTCATGAACGCTTTTTAATTTTCCGAGATTGGCACCACTGCTATAGTTTTACGAACGCGACACGTTAGATCTCCTTTGTTCGTCGCACTCTCTCTGTAACCGCCAAATAAAGAGTCGTCGTTACACAGTTTTCCTGATAAAAGACGAGTTTTTCTGTATCACCTGCTATTAGCTACGTTACAAATCCCCTGAAATTGTGGAATATCCAAAGATATTCCCACTTGTGATAAATAATTTAATTCTTCAATAACTGGCTGAAAAGCAGCTCGATTTCCATTCTCAGTTAAACGATCAGAATAATGAAACAAAGCAAACATAAAAATATATTTTACTTGAGAAGCTAAATAGGAGGTAAGCATGCTATTGAAGTATACACTCCTCT